TTCCAATGCAGGAGATGCAGGTTGGATGCCTGGTTGAGGAACCAAGATCTCACATGCCTCAAGGCCAAAAACCAAAACATAAAACAGAAGCAATATTGTAACAAACTCAATAAAGGCTTTAAAAATGGCCCACATTAAAAAAAAAATTCCAAATCTTCTATCAGAGGGCACTTGCCAGTGCAAAGTGGGGAGGGGCCACTGTTCTGCTGAGTCATCCCTTCCCACCCATGTCTGCTTTGATTTCTGAGAACCCTGGTGTCTGGATGGCTTCTAGCACAGTCAGATATAACAGCCAGTAGTCTATTTGTTGCCCACGCTTCACAAACTAACTGCAGGTATGATGTCTGGTTTGTGTGTGTGTGTTTTCGGGGGAGGGAGAGGCGTGTGGAGGAAGGCAGGATAATCCCGCTTGCTGTTTCTCCCATCACAATGAAGTGTCTGAGAGTCATTGAGCTTTTAAGAATGACAAGTTTACCTGCACTTGACTTAGAGACGGTCATCAGCAGGGCTTTTCTCCATAGAGACAGGTTCCTGCTATCAGTCTGGACAAATCTGCTTAAGAGGTTGACTCCATCCTGGGAGGGTCAATGTGGCCTCTTACAGGTGGCCTGGCGGTGTTCTCAGCGGTCACGTCAGCTAAGGATAGATGTGTGTGACAAATGTGTGTGAGCGTGGAGTGTGGTGTTACAGAGGGGGCTCACTTTTATCATTTCAAGCACTCAGTTTTTCAACCAGTGTAATTCAGAGGCTTCAAATATTTAAATCATTTGCAAGTTAATGCCAACTTTAAGCAATAAGTTCAACACGCAGCTTATCAAACTCATTACAATTACATATTCAAACCACTCCTGAAACACCCACAGATAAGCAATTTATTTCTAATTTGCAAGCCTTCCAGTATTCCCAAGCCAGCCTCTGGAAAAAGCAGTAAGTCATTTCTGGTTAGGAGTGTGATGACCAAGCAAGGGATTTTTCCAGGAAAGTTCGAAGATATTTGATATCCCGCCTCCATGTCTCCCTTCTCCTTCTGGCTTTGTATCATGTCGGGATAAGAAGCCACCAGGCAAACACCAGACTTTATACTGTAAGGAGACACCCTGAAGAGCAGCCTGGGGGGAAATGTAGAGACCCTAGGACCAGTGTTCACTTTTTATTTGCTGGGCTTCTCCTCTCCACACTCCTGACTGCCTCACAGGCCACTCAGGGCTCTCTAGGAATCCCATCCATCTAGGTCTCAGGGATTGGGGGATGGGGCTTTCCAAGAGACCTTTCCTATAATTTTGATTTATTAAGATCCAAAGTTAATGTGGGGAGTCCTATATGTTAGTGCCTGCCTGGTAAAATAAAAATAGGTACCTACATTTTTTCCTCATTGATTTTTAAAAATCATTTTCATCATTTTTAAATGTACAGCTCAGTGGCATTCATCTTGTTTGCAACCATCACCACCATCCACCCACAGAATTTTTCATCTTGCAAAAGTGAAACTCTACTAATTAAACATCAACTTCCCATTTCCCTCTTCTCCAAACTCCTTCTACTTCTGTCTCTATGAATTTTCCACCTTATAGAAGTGGAAACTTATAATACTTACCATAAGTACTGTATTTATTCACTTAGCATAATGTTTATTTCACTTAGCATAATGTCCTCAAGTTTCATCTACAATGTAGCATGTGTGAGAATTTACTTCTTTTCTTAAAGATTTTTTTTTAATGTGGACTGATTTTAAAGTCTTTACTGGAATTTTTACAATATTGCTTCTGCCTTATTTTAAAAAATCTTATTATTATTATTATTATTTTTGCCAAAACTTGAGCCATGTGGGATCTTAGTTCCTCCACCAGGGATCAAAGCCTTATTCCCTGCATTGGAAGGCAAAGTCTTAACCCCTGGATGGCCAGGGAAGTCCCTACTTCCATTTTAAGGTCAAATAATATTTCATTGTATGTCTCTACTACATTTTGTTTATCCACCCATCCTTTCATGGATATTTGGATTGCTTCCATCCTCTGGCTCATGTGAATAATGCTACTGTGAACATGGGCATTCTTTGTTGTCACAGAATGTTTTGATTTTGTAGCAAGATGTATTAAAATAGACCTCAGTATTTCTTAGACTTGATGATGGGAAACAGGAATGAGTCAGGAAGCTGTCTGGCTTATGTATACAAGACTGCTTGATGGCCCTTAAGATCACTTCCACAATATTGGCCAGTAAACCTCAATATTTTAGGTAGGATTTAAATATTTTATTTAATCATATGAAGGCTCACTGATGAGTACATTACTGTAAAAAACCTTTTAAAGAGAAATTTAAAGTTTTTTTTAAGTGTGGAAAATGATAGTTTTTTGGAGAGCTAGGAAACTGGCATTTGCTGCCCTGAAACTTGAAGAAGGAACAGATTATAGTGAACAATATGTACACAGATGAGGAAAATAAAATGCTTTGAACTAGGAAGAAGTGTACTTTTCATTTATTTCAACAATTCTTACACATTGGTACTGGAGTAAATTTGAAAATATGATAGTATCTGTACATTATATTAATATGTACAAGAGTTATGCATATAATTTAAAAAATTTTTAAATCACATGTATTAAAATTTTTTCCCCTTATCTCCCATCTCTTTTAGTGGACATTTTTGTGGAGGCCATGTGGTAAATCTAATCTAACACAGTTTTCAAAGCTATCTGGTTCACTGATGTCATTTTTTCCTGTTTGAAAGCACTACTGTATACTTAATTGGGTATGTGTCTCTCTGGACATTTTATATTTTACTGGGATTTAGGAGATAGGTTCCAAATAGGAAAAGGAGTAAGTCAAGGCTGTATATTGTCACCCTGCTTATTTAACTTATATGCAGAGTACATCATGAGAAACGCTGGGCTGGAAGAAGCACAAGCTGGAATTAAGATTGCCGGGAGAAATATCAATAACCTCAGATATGCAGATGACACCACCCTTATGGCAGAAAGTGAAGAGGAACTAAAAAGCCTCTTGATGAAAGTGAAAGAGGAGAGTGAAAAAGTTGGCTTAAAGCTCAACATTCAGAAAACTAAGATCATGGCATCTGGTCCCATCACTTCATGGGAAATAGATGGAGAGACAGTGGAAACAGTGTCAGACTTTATTTTTTGGGGCTCCAAAATCACTGCAGATGGTGACTGCAGCCATGAAATTAAAAGACACTTACTCCTTGGAAGGAAAGTTATGACCAACCTAGATAGCATATTAAAAAGCAGAGACATTACTTTGCCAACAAAGGTCCGTCTAGTCAAGGCCATGGTTTTTCCAGTGGTCATGTATGGATGTGAGATTTGGGCTCTGAAGAATGCTGAGCACCGAAAAATTGATGCTTTTGAACTATGGTGTTGGAGAAGACTCTTGAGAGTCCCTTGGACTGCAAGGAGATCCAACCAGTCCATCCTGAAGGAAATAAGTCCTGTGTGTTCATTGGAAGGACTGGTGCTGAAGTTGAAACTCCAATACTTTGGCCACCTCATGTGAAGAGTTGACTCATTGGAAAAGACCCTGATGCTTGGAGGGATTGGGGGCAGGAGGAGAAGGGGACGAGAGAGGATGAGATGGCTGGATGGCATCACCGACTCGATGGACATAAGTTTGAGTAAACTCCAGGAGTTTGTGATGGACAGGGAGGCCTGGCGTGCTGCGATTCATGGGGTCGCAAAGAGTCGGACACGACTGAGCGACTGAACTGAACTGAGGAGATAGGAGAGAGAGCTCTTTCAGAATTTATGATGCCATTTTGAAAAAAAGTCATTTTTTTCTTTGATGAAACCATTAAAATCTTGATATCATCGGAAAAAAAAGTTCTCTGTAAATTCTCTTTTAGAAGACTTTGGTGTATGACTGTGCTCTCTTAAAAGAAGAACATTTTTCTTAAGCTAAATATTTTTTTGGTAATAATCTCAATGCCAAATTTAATTAACTCTCGTTCAATATTCTCTTTTAATTCTAGGGACAAGTACTGATAATTTTTCATTGTGTGACTCCATGAACTTACCATTGGGTAGGATGTAGTTTGTTTTTACAAAAAATATTTGTTTGAAAACAAAAAATGAGCCAATAAAAAGAACTGATGAAAGTCACACAATCTAATGCAGGATATAAGTACATCATGTATTGTACTAACATAAAATTTTCAAAATTTAGAAAGACTCTGAGCTTCCAATTCAGGAGACACAGGTTTCAGGAGCTAAGATTTTGCATGCCATGAGACTCACCCAAAAGATTAAAAAAAAGAAAAAAATTAAAAAAACCCCAAATGGAGCACAACCCTCTAGAATAAAATAATCTTCAGAAGGGCTACCACACAACACCTAGCACCCCATTGAAAAGACACCCAGTAATCTGTTGTCCATTTCCAAGTTTTGGATATTTTTTCCCTGACATCACCAATTAAAAATGTATATGGCTTCCCCGGTGGCTCAGACAGGAAAGAATCTGCTTGCAATGTGAGAGACCTGGGGTTCATTCCTGGGTTGGGAAGATCCCCTGGAGGAAGGCATGGCAACCCACTCAAGTATTCTTGCCTGGAGAATCCCCCTGGACAGAGGAGCTGGGGTTGGGGCGGGGGGAAGGGATGGGTACAGCCCATGGGGTCGCAAAGAGCCAGACCAACCAAGCGACTCAGCACAAGCACAATAACCTATACACATACACCTATTTATAAGCATATGTACACAAAAGTATTAAAATGTATGTATTTATTTTGCATCGGAGCATGGCAGAGAAGAGGTATAGGTTGGTGAAAATGTCCTGAATGTATTTTTGTTGAAACAATGACATGCTTTCAGAGTTCATGGTGAGCGGAGCTTAAAGACACTGTCTAAATAATAGGAGATAGCTTGCACTACCTGCCCTGTCCATAGTACTCCCGAAAGCAGGCCCTTATCTTCCTTAAGCAAAAAATAATTAGCAAGGAAGCCTGATGCAAAAGGGCCTAGGAAGTTTATTTTTAACCACTTCTTTTTAAGGCTGCCCAGCAAGTTGAACCCTTATATGGGTGTGGTCCTGGGTGGTGAGGGCGAGAGCGGGCCCACGGCACAGAGAGAAACCAGTGAGGATATGGGTGAAGAAGTGGAGGGGGCCGCTGCTCTTGGGGTGCGCCACAAAACGGACACCTCAAGCTGAAAACGTTCAACCTGGAACTTATGTTTTCACTCCCTGCAGCCTCTCCCTACCCCAGCTTGCCACAACCCCCTTTGTGTTTCTATGTCAGCGACTCCCACCGCCATCAACCCAGCTGCCCAAACCAAACGTTCCGGTGACATCTGTCATTTCTCTTTGCTTGTCCTCCACAGTCCACTGGTCATGAGATGCAGTGGATTCCACCCAATACTACTCTCACGTGTTACTTCCCTCCACACTCAGAGCCAGTGCTCCGCTCCTGGACGTGTCCTCTCTTGCCTGGCCCTCTGAAGCAGCTCTGGGCGGGCTCCCTGCCTCCCGGGCCCCTTTCCCAGTCCTACAGAGCCAACCCGGGGAGACTTTCCGATGAGATCCCAGTGACGGCTTCTCAGCAACCTCCTTCCTGGGTTTATGAGGTCTTCTTTATCTCCGCAGCTCACTGCCTCTCTCCAACTGTCCGTTCTCCCTCTAAGGAGGCCCTCCTCCCCATTTCTAGAATGCGCGCTCTCTAGTCTCTTTGCCCACGCCTCCCACCGCTTAGATTCCTCTCTGGGCCCTTCTCACCCCCAGGTCTTCGCTTACATCTTCCTGAAGCCTCTCTGACGCCCCAAGCTGACTGTCCCGGGAGTAGCAGCAAGTCCTACCAGCTCTGAAGCCACTGACGGTCTTGTCGCCTGGTCAAGCCTGTCGCCGGGGCGGCCTGGACAGGCGGGCTTCTCGCCCTTGGCGCTCCAGCCACCTCACCCAGCTCTCTTTCAGCTCCTGAAAGATTCCTGTTCCTTTTGCCCCTCAGCCCTCTTCCTTTGCCACCCCGGGAGTGCCTCCCTGGGCCCCTAGGATCCCGCGATCGTTCCACAGGCTTAGGGCACAGGACACGTTTCCTCCCGGCGCATTCGGGAACTCTACGTTCGGGTGTCACTAGGCCGGGCCCGCCGGGTGTCCCTGGGCCCCAGCACCCGGCGCGCAGCAGGTGCACGGCCGGTGCAGGAGGGATTGCCTGAACGAGCATCCTCCGGGGCTCGGGCCTGCTGGGGAGGAAGGGCCCGCGCGCCGCTCCCCGACCCCGGGACCCCGCGGCACCCTCCGCTCCCCCGTGCGGCGCCGGAAGCGCCCAGCGCCGTCCCCTCCCCGGGGCGCCAGTCCTCTTATCTCGGCGCCTCGGGGCCGCAGGAGGAGTCCGGGTGCGCCGGGAGGGAGGCGGCGGCGGCATGGCCCGGGGACCCTGGGGAGTCGGCATCCCGCTAGGCCGCCTGCTGCTGCTGCTGCTGCTGCTGCTGCTGCTGCTCAGCCTGGCCCGAGGCGCGCCCCGAACGCGGAGCCAGGACGGTGAGTGCGGGCGGGGAGCGAGCGCGGCGCTCCCCCGCCCCTGGGCCGGGCTGGCGCGGAGCCCGGGAGTGGGGCGCAGGTCGGAGATCGGGGGTGGGGGGGCGGGGCTCCGAGATACTGGTGGGCTTCCCGGGCTGGCTTCCCGGCTCCCGCACCCGGGCTGCGGGGAGCTGAGTGCCCTGCCGCCTGGCCCGCGCCCCCCGGGGACCGGGCGCGAGTGGGGGCTGGGCGCGAGCGGCGGGTGGCGGCGCCCCCTGGGAGAGCCGCGCCTCGAGCAAGAGGGCGTGGAAGGGCGTTCCGCCTGCACTGTCACGCTTCCGGCACCGCTGTGGCTTTTGCGCGACAAATTCTTGACCCTGGAGCAGTTTTCTTCCTGCCCTGTAATTTTTAACATTTGATGAAGAACCAGGTGCTAATATGGTGAGAAAGAAGTGTAAGGAAGTTTATGGGAATAAAGCACTCATGAATCAGTTCATTCATTTAACAGATGAATGGTCCTTGAATAGTTTTCCCGAGAGGGATGTGAGGTCCCTGTGCTGGCCCTCACTGACGTCATAGTCGTGTCCGACTCTCTGCGACCCCATGGACTGTAGCCCGCCTGGCTCCTCTGTCCATGGGATTCTCCAGGCAAGAATACTGGAGTGGGTTGCCATGCCTTCCTCCATGGGATCTTGCCAGCCCAGGGATGGAACCCAGGTCTCCCTCGTTGCCGGCAGATTCTTTATGTCTGAGGCACCAGGGAAGCCCATTCTGGAGAAGACAGACAAGCAAATAATTCATTTCCCGGCAGTTGGAGTAGGAGCCCTCCAGCTTCCTCTGTTCATGAAATTCTCCAGGGAGTGGGTTGCCAGTTCCTTCTCCAGGGGGTCCTCCCAACTCAGGGATCGAGCCCTGGTCTGCATTACAGGCAGATTCTTTACTGCCTGAGCCACCAGGTAAGCCCTAGAACCCCATCAGTGCTCTGAAAAGTTGAGTGGTCAGAAGAGGGAAAGACTACATCTGGTTAAGGGAATCTGGTGGCCCCATGGATGCGGTGACCCTTAAAGGGGGCCAAAAAGGATAGGTAATATTCGATATGGGAAGGTGAGGAAAAGGCATCCGAGCTCATCGCAGAGGGCACAGTCAGCTCTCCACTGAGAATGAATGAATCCCAGATGGAGGGGACAGGGTAAGAAAGCACATGAAGGCACAAAAGCGCAGGGTCTGCATTTCAGTTTGACTGATGTGTAGAAGGTGGGTGGGAAATGGGGCAGAACAGCAGGTTGGATTTCACCAGAAGGCAGTGCGTTGTAGTTGGAAGACCCAGGCATTTAGACTGAGTTGTTTCTGGGCAGTGAGGAGCCACTGATAATCCTTGCAGGTTTAGTACAGGGAGTGAGTGATATAAAAAATGGTACAAGAGAGACTTTTCTGTTGGTCCAGTGGGTAAGACTCCACGCTTCCACAACAGAGGGCGTGCATTCAACCCCTGATTGGGGAACTAAGATCGCACATGCCAGGCAGTGCAGCTGAAAAAAGAGCTATAAGGAAATCATCTAGCTACCCTAATAAAGTGAAACAGTCATCCTGTAGTGGATGGCAAATACCATGTAAGGAGATACTCAGAGACTCTGTGGTTCCTACTCTGTTCCCCCTAATTCTTTTTACCTTGGGACTTTCACTATCACTGGATGTTATTTTTCTTGGTTGGCGAACCTTCTGAAGTGCCCCCCTCCTTTTGTTTTAACATCAGATAGGCTGATGGGCTTTCTAACTACGTTCTCTAACTTGGTCTTCCACAGCAGAGTAGATTAAAGCTTGCAGACGCTTGGAGCATACTTCAGAATCTCCGTGTGAAGATGGTAGCCTAGGAAACTGTCTACTGTGTTCCCGTTGACTTGCTGGGCTAAGATGTTGACCAAAGTAACTACATAAGCTCAGCCATCTGCAACTGCTTAACTGCTGTGGAGTAAATCTTGGGAAATGGAAGTCAGGGTTGCCCTGGTTGATCCTCCTCTCCCTGTGTCGACATTTTCCCATCATTTACAACCGTGGAGAACCTGGTGTGATCAAGGGCAGGTTTCCTTGCAGTAGACAGTGTGGGAACTGACTGGAGGCTTAGGGGCCGTTGAGGAATTGTTACATCTCTTCTAAAAGTCCTGAGGCCTGGCCCCACAGTCATAACAGCAGGAAATGAGGACTGTGTGTAGATGATAAGGTGGAAAGGGAACTGGAAGGACTTAATGACAGATGTTAAGGTTCAAGGGAACCAAAGAGGGAAGATGGAACACTACAGGTTTGGGACTGGTTGATTTGGATACATGGTTCTATAGTGCTAAGGTGTGTCCTACTCTTTGCGACCTCATGAACTGTAGCCCATTAGGTTTCTTGCCTGATTTCCCAGGCAAGAATACTGCAGTGGGTTGCCATTTCTTACTCCGGGAATCTTCATGACCCAAGGATTGAACCCACTTCTTCTGCATCTCCTGCATTGGACAGGCAGGCTCTTTACCACTAGTGCCCCATATGGTTCCATTGTTGTTGTTCAGTTGCTAAGTTATGTCTGACTCTTTGTGACCCCATTGTCTGCAGCACACCAGGCTTCCATGTCCTCACTATTTCCCAGAATTTGCTCAAACTAATGCCCACTGAGTTGGTGATGCCATCCAACCATTTTATCCTCTGTGCCCTCCTCCTCCTGCCCTCAGTTTTTCCCAGCATCAGGCTCTTTTTCAATGAGTCAGCTCTTCACATCAGGTGGCCAAAGTTTTGGCGTTTCAGCTTCCGCATCAGTCCTTCCAGTGAATATTAAGGACTGATCTCCTTTAGGATGGACTGGTTGGATCTCCTTGCTGTCCATGGGACTCTTCAAGAGTCTTCTCCAGCACCACAGTTTGAAAGCCTCAGTTCTTCGGCCCTCAGTCTTCTTTATGGTGCCACTGTCATGTATGGTTCTATAGGAGGACAAAAAAAGATTTGGGAAGAAAGATGCGTAGTTTTTTTGGAGATCCTGAATTTGAGGTGATGTTAGGAATTTGGAGAGATGAAATCAACAGGGAACTGAGTGTGTGGACAGTAAGCTTCTTCAGTGATGGTGACTCAATGGTCACTTGAAGCCTTGAGGTTGATAAGAATAAGAGGACCAAGGACAGGTTCTTTTGTTCTTGTTTTTTTCCAATTTTTTCATTATTTTTAATTGAAGGATAATTACAAATTCTGTTGATTTCTTCCATACATCAATGTGGATCAGCCATAAATATACATATGTTCCCTTCCTCGTGAGCCTCCCTTCCACCTCCTGCCATATCCTACCCCTCTAGGTTGTCACAGAGCCCCAGTTAGAATTCCCTGAGTCAGATTCCCAGATTACAGATTACAGATTCCCAGAATACAGCAGATTCCCACTGGCTATCTACTTTACATATGTTAGTGTATATGTTTCCAAGCTGCTCTCTCCATTCGTCCCACCCTCTTCTTCCTACCCATATATGTGTCCATAAGTCTGTTCTTTTTTTGCGTCTCTACTGCTACCCTGCAAATAACCTATTCATCAGTACCATTTTTCTAGGTTCCATCAATATGTGTTAATGTATGATATTTGTTTTTCTCTTTCTGACTTACTTCACTCTGATTAATAGACTCTAGGTTCATCCACCTAATTAGCACTGTCTCAAATGTGCTCCTTTTTATGGCTGAGT